TTGTAACAGTTAGATCATCTCACATATAAATGATAAATATAAATAACTTACATCATAGTTTGTCATCTTGGTGATGACTGATGAGCCGTCCAAGTCTTCTTGAGTGATCATTTCTTGTGTCGTCCCTCTTTATATATATAGGATTTTTCGATATCAAGTGTCAATTTTTGATGCTTCGTAATTCTATGTGTCATTTTTTTTTTCTTTTTTTTTCGCCTGAAATCAGTTGATAAAAATTTATTAGCCAGGAAAAAAAAAAAAAGAACATTACAATATTGTGTTTTACAAATTGTTTATGGTAAAGTTTGTTAAACATAGTGACTTTATTTAAACTCCATGTTATCCTTCTGTGCACCTCAGTCACACTGGATGAGCTGCCCATGATCCGTACGTTGCATGCAACAGATTGCTCAGAGACATTTAATGCTTCTTGTTCTTATTACCATGTCATCTTTCCTAGTTAGGGTTTTTCCTTCTTGTAGTATATAAAGCTGTAAAGCTCTCAGCTGTATTAAGAACTATTCTAATGAAACATCAGATCTGAGTTAATGTCTTTCACGTTTTCTTCATTAACTCTTTCAAAGTTTGTTCAAAATTATTAAGTATAATGTAGAACAATAAATCAAACTGCATGAATAAGGCATTACTCTCTCAACAAACATTAACGAAATATATGAGAAAACGCTGAGCATTCATGTAGAGAACATAGAATATCTAGTATAATCACACTCAAGATAAATATGTTGACTAGGTCATTTTAATTTTATTATTCTTTATCCACACATCTATTGTTCTTCCTAGATGAGAATAACTGAAAAATGTTAGAAATTTGAAATCATGCATCACAATAGAGGAAAATTGGGTTACTGAAACTAGGGCTAGACATGGTCACAGGTCATCTGGCTCGCCGGTTCAGCCCGAATCCAGCTCAGTCCAACTCGTTGACCACGGACCGAGGCTCGTGTTTGGATTCCCGCTGGGCCGATTCATGGTCGTATATATGTAACATATGACCCAGTGGTTTGGGCCATGGCCGGGCCGCAGGCCATGGAAAAAATATCTATTCTAAATTTTTCTATGCGGATTTTCAAGTGGTCTGCCGATTTCGATTTAAAAAAAGAACCACCTATTGTCCCGGTTTGGATCAAAATCCCAGCTCTCCCCTTTCATTGCTTTGATATAAAGGCTTTGCGAACAATCGCCAACATCTTTGGCACCCTTTTAAAAGTCGATGATGCCATACTCTCGGCTCCAATATGCTCGTTTTTGCGAAGCTCTCAATCTTGAATCCCCCTTCCCACTAGTATCGTTGTTTCTTGCAGAAACAAACGCGTTGAACTCAGTGTCGAGTTTGAACGCTTACCAAAATATTGTTCTTATTGCTTTCATGTAGGACACGATGACTCAACTTGTTACATAAAAAATCCAACCATTCGTCCCGACAAAATTAACAAGGGAAAAAACCCCCCCACATTGAACCCTCTCCTTATATTTCTCCCCCTTCTTCTGCTCTTCCGACCCCCGCTAGCCCATCTCTTTCCTTGGACCCGACTCCTTCGGACTTGAGACCTCTTTTTGGCAAGGCTCCACCAAACCCCTCCTTATTAGACCCGGTTCCTTCCCAGCCCAAATCAATGGCCTCTCCTCTTTCCCTGAAGCGGGATCAGGCAATGTGCCTGACTCATTGGAGCTAGGTTCACCTAAGCCCAATTAGTGATTGTTGAAGCTTGCTCTTCTGATTTTGAACCGGGCTCTCCGGACCACCGCTCCCCTTTTCTAAATTTGAAGATGACTTTATTGTCGCCCCAAACATGTGTAAGAAACCAATCATTGCTCTCTCCTCCCCCTCTGCCCTGCCCCATTCTCCTCATATCTACACCACCTCTTTCGGGAAAAAACAGAGAATTAGGCGCAGCACGTGGAACAAGCAAAAAAGGACCATTTTTTAGATTCGCTGATGAAGTGGTAACTTTAGTTGTTGTCTTTTTCTTTTCCTCGTTTTATTCTTCTTTCTTTTAATTTTTATTGGACTTATGTAGACCTGTGGCTTTTGTGGCCCATTTAGGGTCGTCACTATATACAAGTTGGGGATCCAACCTCAATCCCCCCCTGATGGGTGTTTAAAAAAAATAAAGCAGAACATTGTGACTTTGAGGATAAATGAGATTTTGGAAAATTAGTTTAAATGGTAAACTATACATTGTACAATTATTGATCTACTTTACACTGACAATTTCAGATTAGAAACAAAAGAACGTGTCAATAAAATGTTTGGAGACGAATGGATTCTTCGAAAAAGAATGACAACGTCTCCAATCTTCTGTCGTCTAGTTTGATAAAAAAGCTCTAAAGGGGATTTGTTTGGATTAATATATTATCTAAACGACATTGGTAACAATCCTATTGTTGTATTCAAAATATAGTGTTTGTTGAACCTTGTGGTTCTTCCTTTCAGTTTTTCATTTTTTATCGGTACAAAATCAAAACCGAACCATGTTTTGGTAATCGAAAATCAATTACAAACTTCTAATCGCTTTAGTTCAGTTTTGCATTTTAGAGTTACCGAACAACATATCGAGTATGTATCAGTTTGGTTACCGAATTGATGCTAGCCCTAACTAAGACATCATGAT